TGGGCATAGTCACTTGTCCTTCATAATTTATTGTGACTGGTGTGAAAGAAAATCTCCATGCAGTATGTACTTAATAATAAATTAATATTATTTATAATATATCATCATAAATCAGTTTTGACTTTTTTTTGCAAACAATTTGTCCTTGATGTTTCTGTAAATTAAACCGTATTTAAAAAAACAACTGGTTTTGATTTCTGCAACTAAGCATTTTATTAGATATATAATCGGAAAACAGTTGCTGTGTTGAAAAAAAATTAATTTGTACAACATTTGTTCATCTGAGGCACTGGAGAACATGAAGAACGAGAATTCAGATGGAGGAAATGTGCACACAGATGTACAAAAGGGGGTGAAACAGGAAAAAAAAAAAATCTAAATGTACAATTAAGAGCCGCTTAAAGATATCCACAGAAATAAAGACACATACTCACTCTTGAAAGGAAGGAATGACTTTGGCTTTCTAGCTGACGGTTCCTGAGCTTGACTGATCCATTAACCCTTTCATTCACATTTATGTTGTCAGTGCTGTTTTTGCATTGCGTACAACATGAAATAAACCCTCTAAAGCTCTGACACAGGATCATACGCTTTTTAAATAAAAGCATCTTTGGTCATTTTGAGAATAAAGTATTTCATAATAGCACATGCAGGGTTTATTTTAATGGACAACAGTGGATGGATAAATTGAATAAATTGGTACTTGGTAGTACATACTCCACTAAAGTAAACCCTGTAAAATGCAATTACAATTTTTAAAAACTAATACAAAAACGACTGTAATATCATAACACTACATTGCAGTCAGTATTGCACCCCAGGAAAAATACTTAAAAAAATACAAAAATGCATGTTTTAAATCAGTCGTATCTGTATAACCATTATTTTAAGCTTTTTTTTTTTTTTTAATCCAATTTTTTTTATTAAAAGAGAAAAGGAATGATTAAAATAAATTTGAAAAAAAAAATATTCACCATGATAACCAACAAAAACATGAAGCAAAGTGTCACACAAACTCAGTGATTTGGTACGTTTTTTCAAGGCACATATATATAGCGTTTGTTACGCAAAACATCACAAAACTGAAAGACATTCATACTTGATTAAAACCCAAACTAGCTTTATGCTAAGAATGTATAGCATGTTAACATGCGTACTGTTTTTTTTTTTCCTGGTATGTAGTTACAATGTGCCAGCATTGTGAGGACAGAGTTTTCTCTAGGGGTTAAAGTGAATGGCTATGTTCGGAATAGCATACTACCAAACTATTTGTGCTGTATGTACTATTTTCTGTATGCTTTGAATACCCAGATGACCTACTATAATTGCACACTGTGCTGGGTACCATATCCCACAATGCAATGCATCGACTTGACCTTCCATCTCCACTGTGACGTTTTAAGCAACGGTGATGACTCATTTGATCGTTCTCACAAAATACTTTTTTTTTTTTTTTACTTAAATCTGAATGCTTAATACCTATATTTATTCAAAAGGTAACTGAGGTCACGTTTAAAACGTTTTTCATTTTGCATGCTTAAAAACAATAGTGAAAATACACTATGCATGACATTTCAAAATGTCTCACTTTCAACATTTGATATGTTATCTATATTCTATTGTGAATAAAATATAAGTTTATGAGATTTGTAAATTATTCCATTCCTTTTTTACTCACAATTTGTACAGTGTCCCAACTTTTTTAGAATTGGGTTTGTATTTGATCAGAAATACAGTAAAAACAGTAATATTGTGAAAGATCACTACAATTTAAAATAATTGTTTTCTATTTGAATATATTTTAAAATGTAATTTATTCCTGTGATATAAAGCAGAGTTACTCCATTACTCCAGTCTTCAGTGTCACATGATCCTTCAGAAATCAGTCTAATATGATTTGCTGCTCAAGAATCATTTATTATGATCAATGTTGAAAACAATTGTGCTGCTTAATTAATTTTTTATATAACTATATATATATATAGTAACTTTATAAAAGTCTTTACTGTCATTTTTGGTCAATTTATGGCATCCTTGCTAAAAGTTATTTAAAAAAAAAATCTGACCGCAAACATTTAAACCTGTAGCATACTCAAATGTAAAATAATCAATAATGTTAAATAATACAGTATCTGTGGCACAGCTAACATACACCCTGCAGAAGCAGCCGAGGTCCATGGGTAGGGAGTTACTGTATGTTTAGTTGCATAAAGCATGTGCTGGTATTTTATCCTAAGACATGCCACAAAGACACTGGTTAGGCAGCTTGTCATGCAGGTTAACTTGCTGTTAGTCGGATTAAACAGGCAAAGAAAGCATTCAGACACACACAGATGGAGCTGACAATACAACGACTGATACGCCCAGAGTTCTTACCATCGCCTGCCACTCAAACCACACCTCACAGGCAGAAGATCACACATCTGTAACAGTGCAACAACGTCACAACATGTTCAAAGGATCAAACACTGATGACCAGCAACCACCAGCAAAGTGAAGCGAATCACAATTCAGACAGCTGTGAACTTCCATAAAGCCAATCCAATCACATCTCAGCCTTTGAAAGTCAACATGAAACATTTTCTGCAACCCAGTTTACTTCCATAATATGTCGAAATGAACTGGACTATACAAATTACAACCACCAGTGGTTGAAAGTTTGCAGTTGGTAAGATCTTTAAATATTTTTTTAATTTTTTAATCAAAATTTCTTTGATTAAAAATACAGTAAAACTGCCAAATATTATTACAATTTAAAATAACCGTTTTCTATTTGAATATATTTTCAAATGTAATTTATTCCTTTATACAAATTACAACCACCAGTGGTTGAAAGTTTGCAGTTGGTAAGATCTTTAAATATTTTTGAAAAATATTTTCAAAATTTCTTTGATTAAAAATACAGTAAATCTGTAAAACTGCCAAATATTATTACAATTAAAAATAACCGTTTTCTATTTGAATATATTTTCAAATGTAGTTTATTCCTGTGATGCAAAGCTGTAACATGATCCTTCATTGTATTAATATTGCACAATATGAATGCATTTTTTTAAATCAAATAAATGCTGAACGTAAGCAACTTCTCTAAAAATGTATGAAGTGTATCTTTCTTCAGATTAACATGTGCACAATAATATCAGGAAAGTAAACAGGGTGAGGTTTGACTTCATGTTGGCTTTTCGGATGAAGTTCTGATGGCAATGAACCTCCAAAAAGAGTGTCATTAAACACTGAAAGTGGTGATTTCTTTAAACAATGCTAGGAGCATTAATCATGGTGCTGGTAATGTCATTAAACGTGGCAGCATCGTAGCTCTCTCTCTCATGCAGATGCGGTGTGCAGTGAAGCAGGAGAGCGTCTGAACCTCGGGCCAAACACTGAAGGACTCCTGGCAGCTGCTGATATTTCCACAACCGCTGGAAACGGATCCGTCTATTGCAGCGCGTGGTTTCACTGACCCAAATTTACCACTAAGATTATTACACACGACGCATCCTACAGTCAGGCCAATGGTGACAATTCGTGTTATGAGGGAGAAATGTGAAATCCAGACATAAAGGTGTGTGTGTGTGTGTGTGTGTGTGTGGGGGTGGCTGAAAGTCCATTTTTGTATTAAACACTAAACTGAAGATCTGTGTTCAGTTCGGAGTTGAAATAATGGATGCCAGGGACAAATAAACAAAGGGGCTGAATGGCATGATGAATAATAATAAATTATGATAATTAACTGTCATGGAACATTCCGTTTTCCAAGAATAGAATTCATCTTTCAAATGAAGACTTTTTTCTTTCTCCCTGATCGAAATGTTACTTCTTTGGATACATTTCTGCCCAACTTCAGCAAAGTTCTGTTTCAGGAAGACTTACCGAAGAATGAATCATCTGAGATTTTTATGTAAAATATTTGAAGACAAATTAAACATACAAATTCAAAGATTAATATTCCATCGATTACATGACATTCAAGGAATATTTCAGGGTCAATGCGAGTTAAGCTCAATTGACAACATCTGCGACATGCTGTCGAGTATCACAAAAAATCATTTGAACTTATTAGCAAAAACTAAAACATTGTTTAGTTAAACATTTATTATGATTACTTTAGACTTTCATTGTAAGTGCATTTCTGTAAACAGGCTTATTGCCCATTTTTAATTTTATAATTCATCGGTATTTCCTACATGTCATGGATGCTGTCCATTGTTCTACAAGTAATGAATTTAACATGGAACATTCCTATTCATATTTAATTTGATTATTTTTAATTAAAACAAAATTATTATTATTATTATTTATTCACAATTACTTCTATTTTATAATTCAGAGGTATTTTCTACATGCCATGGTGCTGCCCATAGAATTTAACTTTTAATTTAATGTAAGCTGTAACATTCATTCTCATATTTAATTGTATTCCTTTTTTGATTATTAAAACATACATTTATATCATTTTAATTTCCTTATTTTTTTCATTTATTTATTTCCATTTTATAATACAGTAGATAGGTATTTTCTACATGCCATGAATGCTGTCCATAGAGCTTAACTTCTATTTAACCTGGAACCTTTCTTTCTTTTCATATTTATCGTTGTTGTTGTTATTATTATTATTATTATAAATAGAATTTTAATTATTATTCGTTTTTTATTTAAAAATAATTTCCATTTTATAATTCAGATGTATTTTCTACATGCCATGGATGCTGTCTATAGAGCTCAGCTTCTATTTAATTAACCTTTATTACACTTTATTATTAATAAAATCAAATCATTATTAATATTTATTTTAACCTTATTATTATTATTATTATCTAATTTAACATGGAACATTCCTTTAAAGGATCGAGGCAACAAAATCTTGAAAGTTGTGACAATCAAATAATTCCGCAACCTTTATATTGTATATTTAAATATAAATGTTAAATATAAATTTGACACAACTATGCATAAAACAGTTAACAAAAAGACCTGTTTTGTCCTGCATTAAAGATTTATCGCTCAAACACCACTGCTGTATGCTGCTAACACTCGCACACTGTGTACGACATCTATCCCGACAAGCCTACTTACGAAAATAAAGCTTGTTAACTCTGGATCTGGGATTGTTTCAAAACTTTATAATCTGAAGATGGAGTTTTTAGTCTCCAACAGCATCTGAAAGTTTCTTTCGTCATGTTAAATGGGCTTAATGGAGCCAAACCCTCAGGAGAGTTGTTTGGCAGGGGGGCGAGTGCTGGGCTTTCTGAGGTCCACAATAGACTGACACTGAACACCTGCCGTTTATACAGACTCCAGACGAGTGTGTTTCCATATTAGAGTTGATTGAGCTGTAGAAATGTGTCATAATGAAACAATCAAAGAGAGTGCAACTGACATCCACTGAGCGCTTGACGTTCCCATCAGGTTTGTACAGAAAAGTCCATTTCTGTATTTGTGTGCATTTGACCTCAGGAAAAGGATAAATGTGCTATTTTCGTTTGAATTTCCATATTTTTATTAATGAAGAAAAAAGATGAAATGGGAAAAAAATGCCTGGATGCTACCATATAGCTTGCAATTTGGTCATATGCTGTATTTGTATTTTCTAGAAATAAATAGAAACAATTACTAATTTTAAAATGATTATAATAATTTTTTCAATAAAAGTATTTAATTATTTCCATGATCATTTTTATAATTACATTGGCTACACAATGTACAACATTTTGCTCATATGTTGTATTTTTACAAATAAAATGAAATAATGAATCATATTATAAATAAAATAAAATGTCCATTATTATTTATTATAATTACATTGGCTGGACATTGTAAAAGATTTTGATTTTATTTCATATTAATAAATTAAATAATATTTTTTTCAATGTAAAAAATCTAAATATGTATATTTAATATTTAAGGATTTATATTTGAATATAATGTATTAATATGACTACATAATTATAATTCTAAACTATTGTATAATTTATTTATAAAATAACAAAAATGTGTTTTTTTTTATTATTAATCGTTTTTTTGTGCAAAAATGTCAGCATGTTGTTGGAGTTTTTTCATGATTTTCCTTACCTGAGATAATCTTGGATCCAGAAACACAGACACCGTTGGCGCCGTCGCTAGATGGTTGTGGTGGTGGCGGGCCGCTGGGTTTGGGTCGTGCTCGAGGGGTGGGCCTGGGGCGCAGCTGGGAGCCGTCGTGAGGAGGTGTACCGGGAGGGGTGGGCGTTCTGGGAAGGGACGGTTCGGTGTCTTCTGTGCTCTGGGGAGGAGGTTGAGGAGGAGGGTGGCTGGGGGCCTGGATGGGGGTCTGGTTGTTGCGGCGGGGTGCGATGAGAGGCTGAGGGGTGCTCGGGGCTGAGGGCTGGTTAGGAACAGCTTTTACGCTCTGTTTGGGAGGTGCTGGGGCTTGTTTCTTTGTACCTGAAAACAAACGGTCCAGACATGATTTCACTGGCTAATTGACAACATGCATTTTAAAGGGTTAGTTCACCCAAAATGAAAATTCTGTCATTAATTACTCACCCTCATGTCGTTCCAAACCCACAAGACCTTCGTTCATCTTCTGAACACAAATTAAGATATTTTATTTGTTGAACCACTGATGTCACATGGACTGATTTACCGATGTCCTTACCATGTTTCTGGGTCTTTAACGTGTCGGCTGTGTTGCTGTCTATGCAGGTCAGAAAGCTCTCGGATTTCATCAAAATATCTTAATTTGTGTTCTGTTTGGAACGACATGAGGGCGAGTAATTAATGACAGAATTTATATTTTTGGGTGAACTATCCCTTTAAGGTGCACTGATTATGACATTTTAATTAATTCGCTTCTAATTAATTATAGCTGAAAAATGTCCAAATAACAAATAGATTTTTGTCAGAAAGAATTTTGATTGAATTTCATTTTAATTAACTAATTTTGATTAAATGCTACAAGTGAACTTAGGCATCACAACATTATAATGTATAGAGTATAAAAATGGATATTAATTTTGAGACTGGCTAATGATTAAATCTAAATTATTATTTTAAAGATTAAGTTAGTAAAAGTAATGTAAATGTAAAAATTGGGGAAATGAGCATGCAAAATTAAATATGTAACACAAAAAAATTATATATACACAAATATATACACTACTGTTCAAGAGAATTATTTTTGTTTTTGAAAAAGGTCTCTTATGCTCACCAAGGCTGAATTTGTTATATCGAAAATACAGTAAAAACTGTAATATTGTGAAATATTATTACACTTTAAATGAACTGTTTTCTATTTGAATCTACTATAAAATGTAATGTATTCCTGTGATGCAAAGCTGAATTTTCAGCATCATTACTCTACCATGTTTCTGGGTCCTTAACGTGTCGGCTGTGTTGGCTTCCATGCAGGGTCAGAAAGCTCTCGGATTTCATCAAAATATCTTAATTTGTGTTCTGTTTGGAACGACATGAGGGCGAGTAATTAATGACAGAATTTATATTTTTGGGTGAACTATCCCTTTAAGGTGCACTGATTATGACATTTTAATTAATTCGCTTCTAATTAATTATAGCTGAAAAATGTCCAAATAACAAATAGATTTTTGTCAGAAAGAATTTTGATTGAATTTCATTTTAATTAACTAATTTTGATTAAATGCTACAAGTGAACTTAGGCATCACAACATTATAATGTATAGAGTATAAAAATGGATATTAATTTTGAGACTGGCTAATGATTAAATCTAAATTATTATTTTAAAGATTAAGTTAGTAAAAGTAATGTAAATGTAAAAATTGGGGAAATGAGCATGCAAAATTAAATATGTAACACAAAAAAATTATATATACACAAATATATACACTACTGTTCAAGAGAATTATTTTTGTTTTTGAAAAAGGTCTCTTATGCTCACCAAGGCTGAATTTGTTATATCGAAAATACAGTAAAAACTGTAATATTGTGAAATATTATTACACTTTAAATGAACTGTTTTCTATTTGAATCTACTATAAAATGTAATGTATTCCTGTGATGCAAAGCTGAATTTTCAGCATCATTACTCCAGTCTTCAGTGTCATATGATCTTCCGAAATCACTCTGATATGCCGATTTGATGCTCAAGAAATATTCCTTATTATTATCAAGGTTGAAAACAGTTGTGCCGCTTAATTTTTTTTCTTCTTCAAAATTTCATATTTTTTATATTTAATATTTTAATACATAATGATCAGTGTAAAGCATCCTTGCTGAAATAAACTGTTAATTTCTTTTACTTTTAAATGGAAGTGTACTCTATATTGACTGATAACTATTAAAAAAACTTTAATACGATAACCAATATATTGCACATCTCTAATAGATCTGAATAAAGATATGAGGAAAGATAATAAGTTCTGACCTCTGCGGCCCAAGAATGGACTAGGGCCCTTAGGACCTGAGGTAGGGGTCACCACATTCAGCTGAGCGGTCGTCCCACTCAGACCTCCCGGGCCGTTCCTCATGGCAGGGGGTATGGATGGATTGATGCTCAAGAAATATTCCTTATTATTATCAAGGTTGAAAACAGTTGTGCCGCTTAATTTTTTTTCTTCTTCAAAATGTCATATTTTTTATATTTAATATTTTAATACATAATGATCAGTGTAAAGCATCCTTGCTGAAATAAACTGTTAATTTCTTTTACTTTTAAATGGAAGTGTACTCTATATTGACTGATAACTATTAAAAAAAACTTTAATACGATAACCAATATATTGCACATCTCTAATAGATCTGAATAAAGATATGAGGAAAGATAATAAGTTCTGACCTCTGCGGCCCAAGAATGGACTAGGGCCCTTAGGACCTGAGGTAGGGGTCACCACATTCAGCTGAGCGGTCGTCCCACTCAGACCTCCCGGGCCGTTCCTCATGGCAGGGGGTATGGATGCAGGATCTCGGGCGATATTACTGGGGAGAGAAGAAAAGCAGGGAACTTCTATCAGGGGTCACACTGCAGGATGTATTCACAGGTCAGTTCACATGCAGGGACGGTAAAATGTAGTGGTCCAAGTTGAGTTAATGACTTGCACTGAAAAGTTAATACAGATTATATAGAACATGCTTTAAGGAAACACAGTTAGCAAAGTTAGCAGTGTTTTATTCCGCATGCAGTGCATCTTCTCCACTAAAGAAAGAACAAGCAATAGAGAAAGGCAAGGCAGGACACACAAATTCAAGCATCAGAGAATATTCTACAGAAAAGAGACACTAGAAGGATTTTGGCCCTGACTGGGATAAATCAGCATGATAATTTGACAAATTATCCTTAAATTGAGATATGAGAGGCGTTTGCTTCAATCTTCCCGATTTAATGAATCAAAAACAGGAAAACAAGTTGGGAAACTTTTCTTTATTATATTGACCAGGGTTTTTTAAACTTTTTTTTTTAATCCAAGGGCCCCAAGTGTTTTGCAATGGACTCCCTAAAAAATATGATGTGTAAAAGACTAGCTGGAAACAAACCAGAAGAAATACATAAAACTGTCCATAAAAAAATGTATACAAATAATTGGGATTAATCTAATGATTTATGATTTCTGAATAGTCTTTACAAAACAGAACAAAACAAATTATAACTTCATAATAAACTTTTAATAATAAACTATATTTTATTTTTAATTTATTTAGAAACAAAAAATCCTACACACTATCCCAGCATGCAAAAACTATCAGAATTTATTAAGCAATGTTTAAAATTGTTCATTTAATTATTTATTTTACTATTTAATTTTTCTTTTTTTTTGCCCCACATTTTCAGTTTAATTTATATATATATTATATAAAAAGTACTGAATTCTTGTAAATTGGAACACTTTTTTTATTGCCATTATGATGTCTGTGAAAAAAATGTCCAATTATCCTGAATTAACCCTACATATATATAGAGAGAAAGGGGTTCACTCATATTAAATTTGTCCTGGGAACTGTGAATTTTAGCAATGACCATATCTAGATAAATTTAGGGTAAAAAATGTCTTAATCAAGGGTCCAGTGGTAATAGCTTATGGCTTTCCGATGATCATTTTCTGATTTCAAAAGTGTTTTGAAGCAAAAACAACATGAGAATGGCACAAGAAGACGATGTACATAACACAGCGACAAATGGCGGCATTTGATTTTTGCCATTCCAGGTCTCCTGAAAGGTTTATAGCCTTACTCTGCGATTATACCCAATTGTTAGCCATTTGACTGATTTTAAAGCAGTGTTTTGAAGCAATAATCAAGAGAATGGCACAAAACGATGTGCACACGACACACAGATTTCAGCGGCTGGCTCCTGACATCCGGCAGCGGTTGGCGAGGTGAGGTTTTTGCGGTCGCACCAGTCCTTACCTGTTCTCTGCAGTCTGCTGAACTAAAGGCTGAAGGGTCTGAGGAAGCGCAGCTCCCGCCTGCCCAGCCTCCAGACCCCCGCCAGTGGGCGACAGAGGGGAGGGCTCAAACACGAAAACCCCCCCATCGTCAATGGGAGGCAGAGGGGGCTGGAAGGTAGGCGTGGAGTGCTGCTTTTTATTTACTGTGCCAGCTCTACGAGGGGCGATTTCCGGCTGTTTGTTAGCAGGGCTACAGGGAAGAGGGGAGACAGCATGAAACACTCACGCCAGAGAGTGACAGTGGGGTATTAGTCTCCACAGAAGGGAAGGAGGAGAAGGACAGGACCACCACCTGGCCACTGGGACAGCAACCAGAGAGATGTGTTGGGAACGGATGAGATTTCAAATGGTTTGTAGAATTTAAGGATTCAGCATAAAAATGTAACATTTTCAACATATCATAAAAAATAATGTATGTACATATATATATATATATATATATATATATATATATATTAATAGGACTCAAGTTATATGGGACACAAGCTATATAGTTACGCCACAGAAACAAAACAGGTGGCTGAATCATTCACTCTAATTTATTAAGGATCGCCACTACTGTACTGTTGTTCTGAGACCCGTGAGGTTACTATTAATAATAGGCAATAAATATCAAGTATAGTGCACACTATGAATGTTGAATGTTGCATCACCAAATTAAAAAAAATATATATACTGTAAATTTACACCAGTAAAGGACAACAGACTTTGATACATTTTATATTTTGCCACTAAATTTAACTGCAAAACCTTGAAAAAATTTTGTGTATGCTAAGCATTGTACCATAGTTAAAAAATGAAGTATTCTTTAATTAATGTAAAATTAATCAGTGTTTATATTGTTAACTAAAAATATTACAATTTGTTTTTACTTTAAATAAAGCTATCTATCTATCTATAATACATAAGTATAATATATACATATATAATGTGTAAAATAAAATAAATATTAGGTGTAAATCTTAAACATAAAAAAAACTTTTCAGTTAACATTTTAAAAAAATTGTTGTTAAAGTACTAATACTAGTACTAGTACTAAGTACTAGAACTAAAACTGAAAATTAATTAAACAGAAATGTAAAAAAGCTAATAAAATGACAAAAGCAGATAACAATGATGTGATAAACCCAGTATTGTATATTATGAATACTGTCAGCTCTTTGACTAATTGCTTTAAGTCGCTTTGGATAATAGCATTTGCAAAATACATAACTGCGAAATTACTAAAACGTAAACTAAAATTAAAATGAAAATTTAAAATGTAAAAAATAAAATAAAATAAAAGCTAATTAAATAGAATTTTATACATATATTTATTGTTTAGTTTCTGTTTAGGTATATACATTTGTGCTGTCAAGCAATTAATCGCATCCAAAATAAAAGTTTTTGTTTACATAATATATGTGTGTGTCATACACCGTATACACACATATGTGACCCTGGACCACAAGGGTCAATTTTTCGAAAATGAGATTTATATGCTTTCCATTGATGTATGTATGGTTTGTTAGGATAGGACAATATTTGGCCGAGATACAACTATTTGAAAATCTGGAATCTGAGAGTGCAAAAAAATCTAAATATTGAGAAAATCATCTTTAGATTAGTCCAAATGAAGTTCTTAGCAATGCATATTACTAATCAAAAATTAAGTTTTAATATATTTACAGTAGAACATTTACAAAATATTTTCATGGAACATGATCTTTACTTAATCTTCCCATTATTTTTGGCATAAAAGAAAAATCAATAATTTTGACCCATACAATGTATTGTTGGCTATTGCTACAAATATACCCCAGCGACTTAAGACTGGTTTTGTGCTCCAGGGTCACATATATTATGTAAACACATTTTTTTTATTTTGGATGCGATTAATCGCGATTAATCGTTTGACAGCACTAGTATAAATACTACTAAAATAACACTGGCATTACTTCAGTTGTTTATTAATGAAGCAGTCAAATCTCTTAGAAAGTGACTGCAGCAGCCGGTGACATCCAGCTGAAGGATTCTCCTGTACCTGAGGCACAGAAACATTCACCTTTTCAAGCTCTGAACGTTTGGTATGACGGCCTGCGGGAGAGGAGCTGTTTGACTCATTCTGAACATACCAAACCGACACGACGGGACAGAACACTTCCTGCTTTCACTCACTGAATAACTAGAACTGCATTTACTAGAATACAAATAATTACATTATAACCTTTCATTCCTTTTAATGCTGCATTAGCGCTTTTGAAATGCAAGTCAATAACCGGACTCATTTCTTTTCTGAATTTGGCACCCATTTCGTAATCATGAAATATAGCAATAATGCGTTTATACATAGCTATGAGCATAAAGTTTATTTATTTCAGAAAGCATACAATAAGCAACGGTTGACAAAAAAACAAAGTAAAACAAAAAGCAAACAAAAAAAATCTAAAGAAAAACGAAGCAAAACCACAAACAAACATGGCTGAGAAAGTTGCATGTGTCATATGAAATGAATACGTCTAAACAGCCCCCAGCTCTGGTCTCAGACTGTCTGCTTTGACTGTGACAGACTCACTGGCCGCTACATAGGACGCGGACACTACTGTGGAGTTGGAGTCATGTCTGTAAACGCGGGGATGAGACTTGTACCTGTCTTTGCGGGATGTGTCAGAATCGAGCGACCCCTGGCTGCCTGGGCGCCTCCTGTCTATGGTCCCGGCTTCTGAGTCAGGGGTCCCCGGGCACCCAGGCATAGCAAACATGCCTGAGACATTGAAGTCCACATCTGAAGAGCGAAAGAGCAGAGGATATTAAGACACGGCCATGACTGAGTAAAAGACTCTGCAGACATATTTCCAGCACAAAGGCAGAAATTAGTCAGGGAAATTATGCTGTTTCTCTTTGGTCCAATCTGAAGCAGTATTGCTTGCATCTTTTATGGATAATGCAATTCCATGCAGAGTTGTTATAGTAAACTAAAATTAATACTGAAACTATTAAAAATAATTTTCAGGCAACTGGAATACAGCTGGTAAAATTAAACTAAATTAAATTAAGTTAAACTTTAAAAAGCTTGAACTTAAAACAAATTAAACTTAAAAAAATACTGGCAACTAACTGAAATAAGTTTATGTACTAAAAGTACTAAAATGACTAAATTACAACTGAAAAAAAATAAAGCTATATGAGAATAATATTAAAAACTAATAAAAATGACAAAAGCACAAACATTTTTTGTGATGAACCTGGTACTGTATTTTACTAATATTGTTACTCCATGTTTTATTATACAGACAAATATAAACAAATATATCCAAAGTCGCTTTGGATAAAAGTTTGCTAAATGCATAAATGTAAATTTAAAAAATACATAAATAAAACTTCAAATACATTTAAAATGAAAACAAAAATAAAAGTTAAAATACTAAAAATAAATACTATAAATACAAAAAAAAAAATCAAGATGGAGGATGAAGTGAAGCATTGGTTGAATATCAATATATTTTATACCGTTCTGAAAAGTATTGATAAAAATAGTTCAAATTAAATGTAATATTTTTTAACAAGTTCTTAGCTTCGCAAATGTTCAACGCTCAATGCTCACATTAGACCATGGATGTAAAATTGTACTTCGCTGCATTTGTTGCGCAGGTATATGATTATAAACATGTTCATTTACAACTGCATTTTCAAGTCTGACTTCTAGTGTCACTTTTCCATGTAGGGAGCTGGAAATTCCATGTTTGAAGTTTCCGAGCTGTAAAAGGCAGAAATAGCACGCAGCATACTCAGCTACGAGCATTAGTCAAATCTCCAGTGCACTTCTCCTGAGCAGTCACTGGGGTTGCATCTCATTTAGGATGTAAGGCGTCTGCCTATCTAGACAGCTAAAGCTCACTAGGTTTTAGACAGGGCAACTCTCGATGGTAGTCTTACCTTCAGGGAAGAACCAGCTAGAATGGTTGATTATCAGTTCTATTATAGACACGACATGCACGGAGGTAGTAGCCGCCATCTCAGCCAGGCTTCTAGAAGAACAACAAAACTGTAAGATATCAAACCATTTCACAAGAAACATAAACAAGGACAATTAACTATATAAACAATGCAATTTTAGGGGTAATGTGAGTGGAGTGCTCTTGGGTTTGTGTCTCACCCCTCTGTCTTGGCCCACAGTAAATTGGGTCCCAGTACGATGGCGATGTTGCTCGCTGTCATCTTATTTACGTCACTTTCCAGAGCAAGCTTTGCAAGAAACTTCACCAGGTACCTTCACAGACACAGATTCGCTTGTTACGATCACTATAGACATTCCAAGTCAATGGTGAAAGTTTAGTGTAGTAACAAGCTGACCTAAAGTTGGTCTTGTTGGCTTTTGGTAACATGTCACACACCACCCACAGCGCCTGAAGCCTCTTATCAGGATCAGAGATACTGCAGGCCAGAGAAAACAAGAGGAAAACAGAGTAAAAAAAACTTCTGCTGTTTTTTTATACGAGCTTAAAATCTGAAACATCTTTATCCATAATTCCTAAAATTCACACACTTTTTAATTAGTGTAATATTAGAATTGGTGCCATTTTACATGGCTTTTTCTTTACAGGAAGTGATATTTTATTATAAAATGGATAGTTCCGGTCCTTGATTCTGATTGGCTGAGCCGTGTTCGAAGCTGTTGTAAATTACTCTACAAACATACACCTTTGTTTACATTTGCGCGTTGCTCTGCAACCACTTTGTTGCAACCACAACTGTTTCTGAGGAACTACATTGTTTGGCGGAAGAATACTGTTTTTATTAATATCATTACACTTTATTTGCTCTGTTTTATTTTGTGAAACCTTACTACATCTATGGAATAACCGTTTTATAAAAGCAATAAGCCCCGTGAAGCCGTGGTTTACAGTGAATTTATAACAGCTAAGGGAGTTTTAATCACTCGGCTTATTGCTTTATTTAGCATTTATGGTTAAATTTAAGAACATTTTAAGCCTGGCAAGCTTCACCTGCACACTTTGGTGTCAATCGTTTGAAGCACTGAGAAGCTTTTAAACTGAATCCATTGTACAGTTCAGATCAGAAACCCTTCAAGTTGTAAAGTCATCGTCTTCCAGCGTAATAGAGAGATCAACCACATGAGCTTATGGCAGCTGACGTCAGCTCTCTCGACGCTCCACCTTAAATGACTTGTTACACAAGATCACAGCTCCAGAGATGACTCATTTTATGGGATACAAACATAAATGGTTATGTCATCACCTATTTATGATCCCTAGAGTGTAATACTGAGACGTTTCCTCAGGCAGCATTTTAGTTCAGTGTGAAGTTACTGTCGAAAATATGAAATATGGCAGTCCTTACACAAAATATCCAACTGACATAATGTAAACTCTTTTGAACTATTTTAATGTAAAATTATGATACTGTTTGAGCATAAATCTTTCTAAAAAAGCCATTTTAATTTATTTGGCTGCAACCACACAAGATTCAGAAGACAACAAGGAAACACTAAGCTATTACAGAAACTTCAGTGTATTAATACTAGTGCTGTCAAACGATTAATCGCATCCAAAATAAAAGTTTTTGTTTACATAATATATGTGTGTGTACTGTGTATATTAGTGTTGGGCGATATGCTCAATTTTCATATCGTCCTATCGTCAAGCCTGTGAGATCGCCGATACACGATATTATCGTGTTAATTTATGTAATTATTTACTTCGTTTCATTGCGGGAACGTGAACCAACTCCAGCGTAAGGCTAAAAGCAGCCTAATGTTTTTAATATGACTGAATTTGTATTTAACATGATAACAAATTAACAGAAACATTGTAAGTTACTAATTATAATGCTTACATTTCCACAGTTATTCAAAAAGCAGCTACAGAAAACGAGCAACAAACATTTCATTACCAAAGAACATCATCACAAGCTCAGTCTAGCGCGAGTTTATGCACTTTAAAAACACTCCCGTTAAAATCAGTGAATATACACTGTATGAATAAATCTCTTATACTTAAATCGCACGTACATCTGCACGTTGTTGTTTATGAGGAGAGAATTCACGAGTCAGAATTCAGTCAGCGCGCGCACTGAACAACAGAACTCTGCTGTTTCAGTGATGACAGATCTGAACACCTCTGATTGGCCAATGCATTCATAAGCTCAGCATAATCGTTTGTGATTGTTAGAACGTGCAATACTGTAAAAACGCGGAAAAAGAAATATAATGCAACACATAAGCCCTAATATTAATTAGATAGTATTACTAGCCTGATAATAATAATAATAATAATAATAATCGTCTTGCTATCGTCAAAGGCATCAGCCACAGGCGATATCTCTGTCTATCGTCAATACACGATACTATCGTCTATCGGCACAGCCCTAGTGTATATTTATTATGTATATATAAATAGACACACATGCACGTATATATTTAAGAAAAATATGTTGTTTAGATATTAAATATTTTTATATAAGTTAAATTACATGAATATAAATATATATATATATAT